GCGGTGGCTGCGATGTGCGGTCGGTGCCGGTACCGATCCCGATCCCTGCGCGTCCAGGTGAGTCTGGAGCGCGCGCCGCGCGGGGCGGAGCCTTTTATACCCCGGCCGCCGCCCAGCCCGCGCGCCCATTGGCTGCTCGCCCGCCGGGAAGCGCGTGGCCCGCCAGGGGGCGGCCGTTCCCGCCGTGCCGCGCGAGCGAGACCGTGAGGGAGGGAAGGGGACAACGGGAGAGGGAGATGGCGAATGAGGGGTCACCGGGGACGGGGACTCGGGTCACATACCCCTTCACAACACACACCAACAGCCGTCACACAGCCCCTCACACACGAGCGGACGCAGCTCCTGCTCCCCCACATACGGGCATGGCTCCCACTGCCCTTCCTATGCGCATACGCACCTGGGTGCCAGGTGTGAGGGGCAGCAGGCTGGTCGCCATGAGAGCAGATGACTCCAAAGCCACTGTCCCAGCCTCAACCCCCCCACCAGAAGCAGGTGCCCTACAGCAATGGAGGCAGCTGTGGCCCGTGTGTGTCCAGGGATGCTCCCACTGCTGAAGCAGAATTTGAATTAAGCAAGCCTTGGGCTAAACCCAGCACCCTATTCTCACACCTGAGAGATGCTTGGCCACTGCCTAGCTCATGTCTACACTGCCTTTGGCCACAGCACTTCGTGGGGAGATCTGGTCACTAAAGAAGCAGCATGGGTGGACAAAAGGCTGACCATACTCATAGGCGCTTCCTTGGCTGCAGCAAGCCTGGGGAGCAGTCCAGACTGTGCAGATGGGCTAGTGTGTAAGTGGAACAAACACCTTTGGTGGGAAAAAGGAAAGGGGCAGTGCAGGCAGGCAGCCCGCCCATCTGATCCCAGCAGGAACGATAGTGGCAGTCTGGGGGCACTTGCATGCTGGCCACCAGTACACAGAAGGGGTAGAGGGCCAGGTCCTGTAGGTGCTGAAGGGAATAAGGGGAAGGGGAGGGAGCAAAAGAAAAAGTATCCTGACTGCAGACGAGGCTTGCCGAAACCTTTCTGCAGAGATCTTGGTGCCATGGTGAACAGAAACCTGGTACAGAGCACCAAGGGGTAGCAGCTGTGCTGCAGCAGCTCTCACCTCTACCTCCTCCTGGCCTGCCAGCCTCTGGGTTTTGCTCAGGGCTTATTGGAGATTTTGCAGAGAAAATCCCCAGCAATCCGGAGGGAACACTTGCTTTGTGTTCTTTAGCAAGACGACTGCCGTCTTGGCAGGAGGGACTGGTGCTATCCAGCGACAGCAGGTCATGGCCGGAGGTGGCCCTTTGCCGCACGCCCTGAGGCACCTTCTTGCTCCAGGCAGAATATGGGCTCTGAATTCAAGAAGCATCAAGAGTTGGCAAATGCTGAAAAGGCAAAAGCCAAGATCTAAGGCCAGGTTGCTCCTGCAAGAGGAATCTGGATGGCAAACAGCCTCCTGTTCCTGTGCCTGGGAGGGGGGGAGGGAGGGAGAGGCTGCAGGCAAAGCTCCAGGCCAGGCTGCTCCCAGAGCAGCTCTGATTTGGTGATGCAGCCCCCGCCAGGGCCAGATTTGGAGAGTGCCACAGAGCCAGGAGCTGCAAGCCCAGGCAGAGCCGCCTTCATGAGCATCCTTCAAACCCACCCTGCAGAGCCTGCATCACACAGCCCAGCCCCAGTGAGAAAAGGCTCATCTCTTGCTACACAGCCAGTGAGAACCAAAACATCCATTCAGTTTCAAAATGAATGCAGGAAATCCTTTTTGCTTCATGCAAATAAGCCAGACAAGTGTTTTACCATGTGTTTACTCTCTGGCTGTGCTTACCTTCCCCTCAGCTTCCCCCTTTGCTTGCCTGCTCTCCACATGCTTCTCCTTTGTGGATGCTGCAGTCTGACGTAGCTTTTGTCCCTGGCAGGCAGCGAGTGTGAAAGAACCTGATCCCCACCCTGCCTGTGCACAGCCCCATGCCAGCACCAGCTGCACCCAAAAACCTGCTCACCATCCTCCCAGCCCCTCAGCAGATCAGCTGCACCCACCACTGGCAAGTACAACCCCTGGGCAATGTGTTGCTTCTGATGGAGCAGCACTTTGTAACCCCCGGGTCTTTGTCTGGACACAAAGCCACCACGGTGGCCACGCAGGCAGGGGAAGGGGAGCTCCCCCTTTCTCAAGCCACACAGCCACCACCACACTCGTACAAACCGCGGCCAGAGCAGCTTTAAAGCCAACTCTGTGCACTGCCAGCAGGGGAGAGGTGGGGCTGCTGCTGGGGAGCTGCTAAAACCCATCTTGCACAAAGAACAAGAAAGGAGCTTATATCCCAGCAAGAGCTTTTCCCCCCGACAAATTAACAAAGCCTCCCGTAACTGCACAACCAGCTTTTTTCTTACGTCTTTTGGCATTTCTGCTTTCAATAATTTATAACAAAAGAACTGAGACATCAACAGATAGGGAGAAAGCAAAACAGCCCTGACCTGAAATAGCACAGACTGAGTGCCAGCCATTTTAGATGGGTTTTAAATCTTGCACAGAACAAGGCTGCCAGGGCTGATATAATAGCCATTTCCAGGAATGCCTTATTCTCTTGTACAGGAAGGAGGCAGGAAGTTTTCTCTGATTAGAGGTTTTTATCAGCCTTCTGCCCCATCTGCCCGCAGGGCACCACCATGACAGCTGCCAGGCTGAGCCACTCCACAGGGTGACAGCACTTTCTCCCGTTTTCACGCCAGCTTCCTGCCACAACCCTTCACATCCATCAGGGCAGGAGCAGAGAGCCCGGGAAGGCAGCAGCATACTGGGGCTGCTGTGTCTTACAAGAGGGCTCATTCCTCCTGGAACGTGGAAGTTGCTGCAGTTTACAGAAGGGCTTGCTAACACCATTTCCCCCTTGCCCAACAGCAGCAAGAAAAGGTGCTGCTTTCTTTAGATCATAGAACCACCGACTCCAGGAGACCTCTTTACATCAGCAAGGCAGGAGGGAGGTGCCAGCAAATTATTTTGAGGTGTGTCTCACTGTGCTTTGAACAGTGGACACATCCTGCTACCTGCAAGGCACATCTGGTAAGTTCAGCTCCCATCCTGTGCATTAGTTTCAGGTACCCAGGCAGGTAAAAAGGGCTGATACAGGACTAGTGATTGATGTGCTCCTTGCTCCTGTGAATTAACAGCAGGCAGGCACGACATGGCTACCAGCACCAATAGCAGCATCCTCACACCTGCAGCCACACTCCAGCTGCCTGTGGCAGAGGGAGCTGCTGGAGCTCTGTCCTGCTTCTCCAGACCTCCAACTGCAGTAGCACAGCAAATTACTCCGTTGAGATTTTCTCCTGTGAAATAACTTGTTTTGTACAGTAGTAACTCAAGCAGCTGTGAGGAAAGCCCCAGACACCCCACAGCTCACCTTCAGACTTTGAAGATTCCATCCCTTCTGATCTGAAGGTTTCAGAGCAGAGTAACTTGACATGGGTATGAGAACTGTCCCAAGCAGGTATCTCCCATCCTTTTTAAAAGCTACAATGTCAAATAGCATATTAAGTCCGTGCCCTCTCCTAACTCAACCTCCTGGTTTTATTAAAGTAACCAAGAAAACATTATATACTCACTAATAGCAATGGTCTCCTGTGTACAAATGGCTGTAAGGCCCTGTTCCATTTTTTTATCAAAGGAAGGTAAAATCTTCTACAAAATCCTGACAAGACTCAAAGCACCCACCCTGCTATTTGGGGGGAAAAAAAAAACCCAACTTTTTTTTCACTTATTCACTTGCCAGTACTGCAAGACATTTTAACAGATGGATGACAATTGTGATCCTCAGCAAATGTCTGCCAGAGGCCGTGGTCATGTTCAGTCTAGGCCTGGAAATCTATTTGTAAAGCCAAGGACCTTTCTCTAGACCTGCCATCTCATCCTTCTGACTTTATTTACATTTTCCCATCTGCAACACACGATGAGAATGGCTCAGGCTTTAGTGAGAACAAGTGCTCCTCAGGACATAATCTTACTCTGATCATCAGCTTTGTGCGAGACACATATTCTTCATTTGTACTTGTTAAAATATTCAAGCTTCCCCACCTGAACATTATGTGAACAAATCTGCTCCGATACATAATTGAACAGTACTAGAGAAGCTGCACTACCACCTCTAACAATTAAGCCCAGGAAATCAAGCATGGACAAAAGCAATTGCTCAGTGCTTGGTTCCATGCTTTTCCTTCCATGCAATGTGAGCAGAGCCAAGCTGAACCTCACAGCTGGCCACATGCACAAGGGTTAAATCAGATGACCTTCCAAGGTCCCTTCTAAATAAAATTACTTCGTGATCTGCCCTTAAAATGACCCAACTCAGAAGATTCATGTCACTTAATATATTTAGAAGCACTTACAGGCAGAGGCCGTGGTTTTTAAATAAAAGTTTAATTCCTTCATCAGGTCTTAACTTTAAACACAAATGCTGCTGAAAATCCTCCCAGCACTGCTCTGATGTCCTGGCTTTTGGCTCTCAGAGCAGCAGCAGGGGCTCCCATATAGGAGGTGGGATCACAGACTCTCAGGAGAGCTCAGTGCAGGATGCAAAGCAAAGAAGCAAGAGATGCACAGTTTCCAGACAAACACCAATTCTTATACAAAAAGGAAAGCTCTACACTAATAGAAGTGTTAAAGTTGCCACAGGACAGGAGTTTAGGAAGGGAGAGAAGTCTTCAGTAAAAGGCACAACTAAAGAAGTACTTCCCTAGATTTTAACCTTATCTTTCAGTTAGTTCCACTTATACCTCAGCCCCCAGCCTCTCAAAGCCATGCTGGTTACTCTAGAAAGTAATTTCAAGTTCCTTCTTTTCCCTTTTTCCCTTCCTCCAGCTCAAAAACAAATAAAAGAGGAGTGCTTATTAAAAAACAAAAACAAACCAAACCAAAACAAAACAAAAAAACCCCAAACAAACAAACAAAAAACCCCAACAAACCAAAAAAACAAATCAAAAAAACTCAAAACAAAACCAGAATAAAACAGTTTGGTCTATAAACCGTAAGAGTTCAAGAGAGACTTAGCAGTTTACCTTACGATTGTCTGGTACGTTTTCTAAGTATTCAAGTTTCAGATGATACTACATCCAAGAGCCTCAGCCAGCTCTAGTTTTGGTATTTTTCTTTCAGGCACTTTGTGGCCTGTCAAGTTGGTGTTAAATCTGCAATCTTCCCAGTATTATGTTATCACCAGCCTCTTCAACCCATTGCCATAAACACTCCTGAGAAGCATCAGACCCGCTCCAAGGGTTCCTTCAGGTTTTGTTGGCCTGTGACTTGCAGTGCTCCTTGGCTTAAGGTATTTTGCAAGAAGCAGCGCTTTCAAGGAAAGGCAGACAACGAGGAGGACAATGTGTCAGTAACTTCCAGGATAATAGGACTGTAACAAGCAATGGATGAGAGGCTGAGCCAGCTGGACACAAAGCTGTTGTGTTTCGGGTCACCCCAGTGTCTGAGCAGGCACTTGCTAGATGCAAAAACCCTGCTGCTGTTGGATAAAGAGGCTCTGTTTACCACTGTACTGGTAAAACAAGGGTCGGGGGGTGCACAGCAGGTCAAGGTGCAGCTGCAGTACATGACAGCAGTCCTCTAGTTAGCTAGCAAGACTAACAGGAAGCTGTGAAATTGAGAAGCTGGTTTTAGCCTGCACTAGAAACCAAAGCACACAACCACCACAAGTTCTCTTGTGCAGGATGCACATTCCCCATTAAGCTAACAGCACTGCACAGACTGCTCTCACCCTCACTTTGCTGTGTAGCACACTAAAGGGCATTTAATGTCATCAACAATTAAGAGGAATTCAAGTTTGCAAGCTACACTGATCTTCTTTCATGGGAGGAAGCTGTAGCAGCAGCACCTCCTAGGTGTCTCCCAGGGCTTCACCCAGGGTCAAGCTTGGCCAAGACACAAGCCTTCCCCAGCACTCTCCAAGGGCTCTGTCAGGTACAGAGTGGTAAGACAGCCAGCAGTCTCTTGGGCTCTTGCTGTAGATCCAGATCAACATGTCCTAGGGAGCTCTATTTCCCAAACAATTTAGGGTGTGCATGCCAGATCATCTAACCCTGCCCACAGACAAACCCTCTCCCTCCCCCCCTCAAAATAATTGTGGCAAATAGCCATGTGTCAGTCCTGCTCTCCACAGACCTGCAGAATTGAGTCAGTGCTACTGATCAGCTCCACGCACAGAGGTGCTGGTGGAGTTGGCTTTACAGAGATGAGCTTTCCCCCTCCAGCCTCCCACTGTTGGGAACAGAACCAGTAAGCCTGACTTAAGCAGGAGCTGTAGAGAACTGCACTGGAACAAGCAGAGTCTTCTACTGAACTTTACAACAAGCTGAACAACTTTTGGTTTTAAAAAAAAAAGCCATACAAGCAGCAGCTGACATCTGTTGTTATAAAGGGACATGGCTGAATAGGTAGGAAACAGATTCCCCATTATGAGTCCTCCTGATGGCCTCCGCAAGGATCATTGAGATGTCAATCACCTGGAAGGGAAGATAGATGCATCAGCACCATTGAAAAAAGGCACAAGCATGAAAGAACGGCTGGGAAGTCAGGGAGAACCTAAAGAATAAACTCATCACCCACATTTATAACGTGCCAGATGCAGGCAAATTACTTCTACACAGGATTAGGATTTAATTACATGTAAGACTGAAGATACCCTACTACAAATATTCTAGTTGGTCTGTCAGTTACAGTCTACTGTCACCTTGCTTTGCTCAGACTCCCTAGGCTCAGTCTGTTTATCACAGGACTCTCATATTCACTTTGTGCAGAGAAGTTAGGGCAGTCTAAATCAAGATGAAATCACTTCCCCTGAGCCAAGAGGTTTTACCACTGCTGCCAGCAATCTGAGAGATGAAGCTGCTGTGCTGCAGCTCAGCTCCCAGGCGCTGTGCTGGCTCCATCTGGTGGGGTCAGACGGGTACCAGGAGGAAAAGCTGAGTCTCAGCCAAATCCCAACTCTGAATCCCCACAGCTAAAACATTTCAATATATGTAGTCTAGTAAGAATCACTATATTCATGGTGCATTAAAGAAACCAAGTGAAAACCGTATTTATTATCTTTTATCTTCTAGATAGCTTGTCTCTGAAGGGAAGAAAAAATCAACAAGTTGCAGAGTAAAGCCTGAGACTTGTGACAACTCCTTTAGCTCTGTTCCTCAACATCAAACATCAGTGTGTAAATGTGAGGTATTAAAGGAGAGCCTGGAAAACTGCTCCACTGCAATCTTTGGCTACAGCTACTTACACAGAGTTTGCCAGTTTAACATTTTGCCTGCACTAGCTGCAGTGTGAAGCCTGGAAACAAGGTGAAGCACTAGAAATGTTTTAGATGTATAATCCAGAAGTTAGTGCTGAAAGAAATGCAACCCAACAGCAGCTTGCAATCAGCTTATAACATATTTCCAAAAGCAGCTTAAAATTGACTGCAGCTTCAACCAGTTCAGCTTCCCTTTCACCAGCAGCTGAGTAGCTTCTACATTCACACCACAGTATTGGCTGAGTGTGAGTAGTGCCAGAACTTCTCCAAGTGCCTGTGTCCTAGATAATGGTGCTGTGAAGCCAAGGCCCATCTGGAATTAAATCTGGCAAACAACGTCAACCTAATAATAAAAAAACCTAATAATAATGTGAGCCTATTACTAAAGGGAAGGGGGACGGACCCTGGTAGCAGAGGATGCAGAGAAGGCAGTTAGTGAGCACCTTCTTTGCAGTCTTTGACAAGCCAGAGACCAGGGCAAGGGGATGTTGGAAGGAAGACTTTTCCTCAGGGAGGACTGGGCTAGAAGACACTTGGCCAGACTTGATATCCACAAGTCCATGGGCCCTGATGGGATACATTCATGACTACTGAGAGAGCTGGCAGACATCACAGCCAGGCACTCATGATCAGCTTTGAAAGGTCCTGGAGTTCAACAGAGGTGCTTGAGGACTGGAATAAAGCAAAGACAACCCAGGAATTACTGTCAACCAGCCTTACATCAATCTCTGGAAAGGTGATGGAGCACTTCATTCTGGAGGCCATTCTATGCACATGGATAACAAGAACACGATCAGGAATAGTCAGCATGGATTCACCAAAGGCAAATCACGCTTGATCAATCAGATCACCTTCTATGAGGAAGCAACTAGCTGGATGGGTGAGGGGCGAGCAGTGGATATTGTCAACTTCAGCAAGGCTTCTGTCATGAAATCATCACAGGTAAACTCGAAAAGAGTACACTGGATTGAGAACTGGCTGAACAGCAGATTCTGGGGCTCATTATCAGCTTTTAGCTTTCATATGGATAGCAAAGGCTGGGCATAAAGTGACAGATACACAACAAAGCTGTCAGCAGCAACATCAGAAGTTCCTGTCTCCCTGTGTTTCAGCATTGCACATCATCAGCACATCACTCCTCCAAAGGGCACACATCCAACTACTTGCCTACATAGTGGCCCCATTAAATCAGACACCTGATCTAAGTAAACAAGCTCTGAAAAAAAGATCCTTTAATGAACTATTTGAGATGAGCTGGAACAGAAGCTTCGTTGCATCAGTGTAACATGTCTGTTACCCCACAGCAAAAGGGCCAAGAGAACTAGGCAACACTGATGGCAGTACCAACAGAACCACTGTCAGCATTACACAGTATTGTGGGGTTTTCACCGCCAACAGGTGAACAGACAAGGCTACCACCCCTCAGGAGTGACTGAAAATAGATGCTCACCTGGATTTTAGGGCATTGCTTCATCTTGTCCTCCTGGGGTATTGTGTTTGTGACTACAACTGCCTCAAAACAGGCATTGTTGATCCGGGAAATTGCTGGCCCAGAAAAGATCCCATGAGTTAAGATGGCATAAACTTTGGTGGCTCCAGCTGACACAAGCCTGCAAGGGGGGAATAAAGGAGAAGGATGATTAATTCTCAGCAAGTATTAAGCTGACATCAGTGCAGGGCACACGGTAAGGACGACAGGAGACAGCACCATGTGCTTAGGGAACAGACTACCTTTGATTCCCCCTCTCTACGGACTTGGGGAAAAAACAGTTTTACAAGTACCATGAAATCCACCACAGGCAAAGCACACACTGAAAAAACCCCATTGTTCTTAGCTCTGGAATATTTGGAACAGATCATACAAATCACCTCCTGTAATTTTTGCTTACACAAGGCAGCAGATATTTAATACTGTGTTAATACTTTAATACTGTATTTAATTCAGTATGAAATACTGTGCTAATATTTAATACTGTATTTAACAGTTAACAGTCTCACATATGTTGGTCTTTCTGGTGTAAAAGGCATGAATGATATCGAAGTTTGAAAAGCTTATTTCTAATACAAAGTTAGACAACATTTATTTCTACCTGGCATGGTCATTGATGATCCGTTTACAACATAGGAAAAAAAAATGGTCGTCTACTTATTCCCACCCACTGCGACAACTTTAACTGGGTTTTCCTCCCTATTTTGTATAACATGAATAATCAAGAAACTGCACGAGACCTTGTGAAACTTGTCATGCAAATAATCTGCTCAAGCCATTAAGAGCAGGTTCCTGGGTTAGAAAGGCAGCAGCCAGCCCCACTCACTTGTCTGCAGCATGGCAGATGGTGCCACACGTGTCTGCCATGTCATCCACCAGGATGGCCACTCTGTCCTTGACGTCCCCCACCAGCACCATGCGATCGACCTCGTTGGCCTTCTTGCGCTCCTTGTGAATGAGGGCAAAGTCTACATTCAACCGATCTGCAATGGAGGTCACTCTGAAGAGAGAACAGTTTCCAAACAACACTTAACTCCACAGAGCAGCTTCAATCAAAGCTCTTTCAGTATCAAGCATGCTGCACTAAGAGGAGCTGTCACCACATCTGCTACTGCTCCCAAGCAATTAATAGAAGGCACTCTGCCACTTTGGTTTCCCTTCAAGCAGCTAAACTGCAACCTCTGATCTAATCTCTCTCAGTGACAGCAGACAGATCTCATCTTTCATCATGACCACTGTAAACTAATTTGCATTTAAGCTGAAAACAAACTTTAACCAGCAAGGTCAGCAAACCTGAAGTGATCCAAACACTTGGAAAGTTGTCATCTTTGTAACACTACACTGGAAAGGCTTAAGCTGTGCTATGACAGGGCTTTACTGTCACTCTTATAAGCACTCAATCATCATGCACACAGGCACTGGCACAGATTGTGGAAGGATTACACATCCAGGTAATTTAAATACACCACCTCGCATTTATTTCCATTAAAGTGACTGCAGAGCAACCTTACTAGAGGGATCTTAACTTCACATATTGGCACTGATGAATAGTAAAGAGTTTAAAAGCATTAAGAGTGGAAGGAGTAAAACACACATGCCTTCAGAAATTCTACACTTGAGGTAAGTAGACTCTCAGCCCCATTAGATCAGATTTATCATCCTAGTGGTCCTACACAGACTGTTAAACTAAACTGAAGTATTTGGCTGTGCTTATCTCCATAAAATACTGCACCAGCCAAGATTGACATGTTACAGTATAAGAGGCTTTTGAGCAGATTTTTTCATGAGTCAGATTATATCTGGCTGGTTTGGCACTTCATATACTGTGTTATGCAACAAGCTACAGAAATAGTTGAATATAGAGAAGGTCTTTCCCAATCCATGGACCACAGCAGAGCTACAGAAGACATACAGTGACCTACAGTGTCAGTGTCTCTTGGCTGCTTGTAACACATCACTTCAAACATTCTAAGGCACATGAATCAGATCAGCACACACCAACATTTTGGTGTGACAGCCCAGGATTAAAGAATACATCTGTGTCCCTTTACTGTTCACATGTAGCCCTCAGACAGAAGCATCAAGGAACAGCCTAGTTTCTCCTAAAAAACACCTGAGAACATTCTGAGCTGCCCACAAACTGGCATGTTTGTCTGCAGGGAGATGGGAGATTGTCAGGCTATCAAAATAGAAATGTGCTATAGCATATGCTGCTGCTTTTTGGAAAGGAACCATCTATCTTCCTCGTTCTCAGGGAAGATGAAGAGCGGCAGCAGGCTTAAATCACAGCTAGATATTCAAATCCAGGGTAATAAAGTAAGAAAACGCCTCAACAGACTAAGTTTAATTCTGCAAAGAAAGCAGCCTGGATAAAAATGTATCATTAACATTAGCAGTAAGCTTGCCTTGGCATAAATATATAAATAATATACTATTTCCTCCTTCAATTGGCATAAATATCCTTGTAAAAACTGGTTTAGTTCAAGGGATGTAGCTTTTGTGCAATTCCTACCTATGCAGCTGTGACTGTAGAAGCTATTTAATCCTCCATGTAGCCCAAGAAACCTTCTAAACATTCCCTAGGAAGAATAGCTGACCACTCTTCACCAGCTGTCCTAGACTGTCTGAGAGAAGGCAGACTGACAGAAGAAATATGCTTTAAAAATAGAGTCAAAAGTATTCTTAGGAATTGAAGTAGACACAGAAGCAGCATCTCAAGATACCTATCTGATAGCTCACCTCTTGGCTCCACCAGCATCTGGTGAAACAATGGTGCAGTTCTTCCACTCTGGAATATTCTCTTTGATCCACTTCAGTACAGCAGGCTCAGCATATAAATTATCAACAGGGATATCAAAAAAACCCTGCAAGGAAGACAACAGGAACAGATAATAGCTGAAAGTCCCATTTCAGAAACATTTGTAAGAAGCCTTCTACATCATCAGGCATGCAGTGATCACCTTTCCACAGTTTTCAGCTTTCCTTTTTACTTCCCTTGATGCAAGGACAGTAGTCTTTGGGATACACAGAATAGTAATGCAAGAAGTCTTCAGAGCCAGAAATAGTTCAGCAGCATAAAAATAACACTTTACATGTAACACCTCCACAAAATGAAACTAGTTCTATCCTGGGGGCTCCAGAAAGCCTGCAGCAAATGCATTCATTTCCAGAGCAGCTGGCTGCCTGTTTACAGTCAGTCTTTAAAGCTCATTACACAAAATGGTTACATCTACAAAACAGGCCTGAGTAACATCCGTCTTTAAACTAATGCAGCTGGTTCCATAAGTTTACAGTGACCCTGCAGACTTCTCCAAATCTCACAGGTCACTAAATACCAGAAGTTAATCCTGGAGTAACAGGCAGGAGAGTGAGGAATGCTTCAAGGTACGGGGGCAACAGACCCTCCTCACCAGAATTCCTTCTGTGCTCAGCAACACAGCAGCTCCAAGAACCAGGCTGAAACCAGCCAGATGCTGGAAGCACGTATGCACAAATGATCCCATTAAATCTCATCCCTGCTGCTGGTGCAAGGTCAGCCCTATGGCACACATCAATTCCAAGCCCTTACGGAAGAGGGAGGACCACCCTGGGCTTGTTATTTCATGGCTCCTTCTGAGAGCCTTCTCAGCTGTGCCCCCACTGCTTTTTTTCACCTGAGACAGTATTTCTGGGCAAATCATACTGAAGTGTGAATGACTGCACTTCCAGCTGTTAAAGCAACAGCCAGCCACTTATCTCACCAAGCAGTAGCAACTTTACCCTTTACAGCAATACAAGAGACATCCTTTCCTCTGCCACACCCCTCTCAGTTGCACTGAGTTGGTTTCTTGGTCTTGAGCACTTGCTCAATGTGGAGAGAAACAAAATCAAATTGAGTTTGCAGCCCTTCCTCTTGCTGGCAAATATTCCTGCCAGTTTACTTACACAGCCCAGGTCAAGACTTCAGTTGCTCTGTGAGGTATTTTATTCATAAGCCAACAAAGCCTATAAATGATTTTTAATTCACTACCAGCCTGGGAAAGAACCGAGGCCAGCTTGTGTGGGAGGGTGGCACTGAATGGATACGAGTGGGATTGCCCATCTTGCCAGAGGCAAGCTATCAGATCACTGTCCTGGCCAACTAAACCCACAAATGCAGCTGTGCCAGGACACCTGAGGGCAGAACTAACTGCTCACTTCTCCAAGACAACACACAAAGTATGAGAAAGCTCTGCTCAGAATTTGAGGACACTCTCCATCTCGCATCCCTCCAAGATCTAGTGAAGAATAAACAGTGTCACTGTGTGGCAACAAAGTTGTAGGGATCATTTACTAGTTCCTTTACAAAAGACTCAAGACACTCAGTCTGATGAAGAATAACTATACTTTCATTTACAGGTTAACCTGTTACCCACCTCCCTATCCAGTCCCAAATTTCCAAGTCTTGATCACTGCTGTATCTCAAAAAAGCAGATCTGGAAAGCTTGAAAAGCAGTCAAGAAGCTCAGATGGAACTGGTTAAGTCCTCTCCTGATTTTTGCTCCTACCTGAATCTGAGATGCATGCAGGTCCATGGTGATTATATGATCTGCACCTGCCACAGACAGCATGTTTGCAACCAACTTGGCAGAGATTGGAGCTCGACTCTGGTACAGGAAAAAAAAGACAGTATAAGACAAGTTCAACTCCTTCATCAAGATGTCAGCCTTCTGCTTCCAGGCAGTGATTCACAAGCAGTTACTAAAAGGAGCACTCATTAACATTGCATCTTTTCATCAGCTAGTGATTAGACTTTAGTACATTTTCAAGAAGAACTAGATTTTCATGAAAAGATCATTTTGCAGTCCAATGTCCTGATGTTTAACGAAATGAAAAGAGGTTGCATATTCAAAGGAGGCGACAAAACTTCATTTAAATCCTCTCCAGCAGTCAGGACTTTCAAAGTGTGCATTCAACTTCCCTCCAGAATCCTTAACCACATCCCTTACCTTGTCCTTTTTGTCCTGCCGGGCGTAAGGGAAGCAGGGGATGACAGCTGTGACTCTGCTGGCTGAGGCAATCTTACAGGCATTTATCATGATGAGGAGCTCCATCAGATTGTCATTGATTTCCCCACAGCCACTCTGCACAATGTAGACGTCCTCCCCACGAACACTCTCGCCTATTTCCACACTGGAAACAGATGAGAAGAGAGTTGCAGCCAAACACAAATTAAAGCACAGCCATTACTTGTGCCTGCAGAGCAACCAAGGCAGTGCATTCCCAAGGGTCTGTGGGTGACAGTGCCATATAATCAAGGCTGTTGAGCAGGAACACTGCTGTTTATTTGCTCAGTGGCTATTTTACAGCACTCACTGATCAGATTTAATGGTCCCGCCAGTAAAGGCTAAAAGCACTCAGCCTGTACTCTTGATCTCAACACAAGCTGAGCATGTAAACACCCCAGAGCAGGCCTTGCTCCCCTGGAACCACTAGCACAGCCACCTCTAAAAGCAGCAGTGTACAAAGGAGCAAGGACATGGCCAGCCACCAGAGTGGGGACAAACTGCTACCGAAGCAACACTGCAGCCAGTTGTCAGACTGAAAGTTAAAACAGCCATTCAGTGGCTCCACCAAAGAAGCACTTCTGCATTTCAGTCTGGAAAGGCTTTTGGGGTTAATTTTCTCCTGGATGCAGTGCACACTAATCCCTGCTGATGAAGGGCCTGAATACAAGCCAAAGGTTCTGTTTGCCAACAGCAAAATGCCAGCTCCAGTGCACATATGGAGACACCTGCACCAGAAAGAGTGGGAAAGAAACCACTTCACTTATAGAGCCCCTCAGGATAGAGCTCTAATTCTAATATTTCCTTCCCTGACCTTTCTGATCTCTTCTTCTAACTTTTTTTGATGACTATTATCTATTTATAGCCTTACTGCTCAATATCCATCAGCGAGCTGCTGTCATCTTTATTGCTCTCTGACTTACAGGATGTATCCATCTCTCGTGAAGAATTTCAGTCAAGGAGAACTCTCTGCTGGGGAAGTGTCTGATTATCAGCAGTTAGCTGATAATCAGACACTCCAATATCAGGGTGATTTAAGATACTTATGGTACAAACAAGTCTATGAATTTTTCTGTTAAAACAATCTTGCTCTTTTGGGGAAGCACCTGCTGTCAGTTTATTGGGGTAAATAAGATGTCTTTTAAGTCTTCAAGCCACATTACCTGCTGACATAGGAACCTGATGGCCAGCCAACTAGATGGGTAAGAGTAGTTGATAAAGAATGAGAACAGTGCAAGGGCTGTAAATCAAACAGAACCTTTTATAACTTCTCTACAACTCTCTGTATTACCTCTGAGATTTTACAATCAATACCCATGCAAGAGAAACATAACATTGTACATCACATTTACATCCTGGATTTTCGTGGAAAAAAAAAATACTGTTTCCAGAAGGAGCAGGTTGGAGCAACCAAGGCTCGTCGTATTATACTCTGGTGTATACACGGTTAGTGTATTCTCTAAAGCAAGCTTAAAAAGCTCTGAACAACTTTAGACCTCCTTTTTAGCTTTACGTAGGATGGCACCAAGACTTTTTAAAGCATAGATACATAAAACAAGGCGAATGTTAGGCTTCAAAGCTTGAGGAGAACAGACTGCATGACTGCAAATGCACCGTGGGATGCACGGAGGTGTGAGCCTCTTCTCTTTCCTTGAGAATTCTATCAATACTTTCTAAGACTCTGAAGCTCCTCAGAGAAGTTTAAAGGTATCAGCTACATGCTAAACACAAAATTATCAAGCCTCAAGTCATCAGAGTTTAGATTTAAGCATGAAATAGCTTCATCAGTGTAACTCCAAGAGGTACCGTCCCATCAGCTCGCGGCTTTGGGGTGGAGGGGGCAAGGTCCGTGTGGCGAATTCCATCGCTCCAACACTTGCCACAGTGGCCAGCCCACACAAATCCTCCAAGTTCAGGAGCCCCGCGCGGCCCCGGTGCCGGGGAAGCCCCAAAGGCGGCAGTAGAAGCCCGCGTGGGGCCGGCGCCGTGAGGCGGGGACGGCTGCAGGCATGGCCCGGGCCGCACATGGCTCCCGGGGCGCACCGCGGGCGGGCCTCGCCCCGCCTCTGCCTGGGAGATGTGCGCGATGCACCCGAGGGCTCCGGGGCAGCAGGGGCACGGCGGGAGCGCACCGGGGACATCTCCGAGCGCGGCTCCGCTGCTCCGCAGCCGGGCCCGACCGCACGGCCCCCGAACTACAACCCCCATAACCCCCCGCGCGGAGGCAGCGCGGTACCCAGCACCGCAGCGCCGCGCGGCATGCCGGGAGCTGTAGTGCGGCCGCGCCCCGCCCCACCTCACCATGTCTCCTGGTTGCTGAACTTCTTGGTGACCACCTTGCCCAGCTCCAGGCCCAGGCGGTCGGCGATCTTCTGGGACAGGTCCTGGTGCGAGCTCCCGCTGAAGATCTTGATGTTGGGCATGGCGGCGGCTGCGGAAGTGGCGCCCTTTTTCTCCTCTTCGTCGCTCCGCCACGCAGCGCCCGCGGCTGCCGCGCGGGGACCCGCCCGCCTCCTGCGAGGACGCGGCACAGTAGGTACAGGTCACACCAGTCGCCTCTACGCCGCCATCTTACCCCTTCCCGCCTGCTGTTCCGACGCTTTATAACTTCTCCGCCCCGAGGACACGCCCCCAATCACTTCCCATTGGCTGTGCTGCCGGAGGAGGCATGGCCCAGCGCAACGGCCCGGCAGTGGTGGGCGTGACTTGGCGCGCCTCCTTCTCCACGCGGGCGAGGGTAGCTGCGCGCGGCCCCCAGCTGGGGGCGGGACCTAGGGCAGGGGGAGGCCTACGATTGGCCGCTATGTGGCGGTTTGGGCTGCGATTGGCCAGAGCGGGGGGGCCCGGAGCGCGCGGCCGGCCCTGCCCCACGTGGCCGTGGCGAGCACAGCCGCCCCCCGGCGGCCATGATGGCGCCCACCGCACCGGGGGGAAGGAGGTGGGCGATGTCCCCGCTGCCGCCTCACGGCGCCGCGCCCGCGCCCCCCGCCCGCCTCTCACCGCCGCACCCGCCGCCTGCGGGGCGCCGCGGCGTCCGTTACCTCAGCATGCCGGCGTGCCCGCGCCCGCCGCCGCCGTCCCCCGCCGCCCTGCACGGCGCTGCGCGGAGCTGGCGTCACCCGGCGGGCCGCGTGTGAGGCGGTACCGGGTGACACCGGGTGGCAGCGGGCCCGCTGCGGCACCGCCGTGCCCCGGGACGGGCCCTGCGCTGCACCCGGCCCTGCCCTTCAAGGGCTGTTTTGATTTTGGATCAGAGCTGCAACCCGCCTGGGGGATATTTTAACAGGCTTATTAATTCCTGAGGGGTTTTACGTTTTTAGTCAAGATTTTTGTACCCAATTCCATACCAAATTATATATTGATACGTGTATATAGATGCATATATGTATGTGTGTGTATCTATGTTATATATAATTATATATTTAACTAACCATAGACTAATAACAAATTAGCCTTCTGTGAATTATCGGTTATGCACATTAATTTATCTTTAGCGAATTTAAACATTGTGCTTAACGGTTTTTAACCTTTAAACCTGGTTTGTTAACCTTTAAACCTGGATATCATCGAATCCTAGAATATCCTGGGCTGGGAGGGAATCACAAATTCCCGACTCCTGGCCCTGCACAGGACCCCCCTCAAGAATCCCACCGATGTGATTTTTATAGTGGTTTATTCTCATTCTAAATTTCTAATCCAGTCTCTGGTTGTTAATAGGTCAATATAGTCCTGTCCTTTTTCTAAGACTTTATCTCAAATTACCTTTCACTACTTTGAAGGAAATGATACTCAAATTTTAGCTTGTGTATTTTATTATTAACCCCTTCAAAACAAAAGGCCCTGTGGTTCATAACAGAAAATGAAGGAATTGATAATTGCTCACATTTCTTTGTTTCTGTCAGACACACAACCAGCAAGTCCAGGGTAAAGATGACACCAGGCCAGTGACTCTTCACTCCGTCTGTGCTTGTTATTTTCCCCACAAAGCGAAGAAGGAAGATTTACACATAAATATACGAAATAAGCCACAGACAGCTTGTTCAGAATTTTCATGAAGTTGTGTAATTCCTACTCATGTTACTTGAATTTCTGAGAGACAATGAACTTCTCCAGTGAATTTGACATTGATTTGCTTCGAGTCCTTGAGATTTCAACCAGAAGAATCCACAATCGGGGGGGTTGGGTGGGGTAGGGCTGGCCACATTTTCTTTATTTTCTTAAAACTCCTCTGGCCTCAAATGCTACTGGCATTATCCCCAAAGATCTGTAAATTAATGACTACAAAACCATACTTAGAAGAAGTTTTCTATAACACTTTGTACAGTGTCATTAAATTTGGAATTCCTCTGCATTAAAATAGGTATTTATTCCCATGCTTTGCATTGATTGAACTGGAATATTAATATTGGTAATTATGATTATTTTCTGGTGAAGCTGTAGCAGTTTTGAGATGCTGTGACAGCATCAGACAGGGAATTGGGAAGGAAGAACACGGCTCTTTGCTTCTAATTTGTTGCTAATCATTGCTCATCTTAACAAAGGACAATCATCCTAGCAAACAAAATTAATCTTAGCAGTGAAGCAAACTTCACTGGTGAGTGGCTACCTGATGGTTCAAGTGATGGGATTTGTGGATACCTCCCAAATTTCCAGCAGACACATTCTTGCCCCAAATCCACATCATTGCAGCCATTCACTGCTGACACTGCTTGATCTGGGGCACACCTTGGTTTTGAAGTATTTGCTTCAGTCTTGTTTTAAATTCCATTTTGTCTCCCGTGTTCTTGAATACAGAATGAGAATTTTCTGTTCCCCAACATCCCAGGCTCCCCTCGGTTTATTTGTGAACCAGGCAGTGGGACCCTAAGGCTGAAGGCAGCACAGGGTATATTTAAACACACAAGTGATGCCTCTCTTTGATGAGCCCTGTCTGGGCTTTGGAAGCAGCTTTCCTGTCAGGTTCCTCCTGGCATCACACAGAGATGCCATTTGGAGGAGTGAAAAATCTGACAAAAAAAAATTCCTTTAATCCTAAAACCAGGAACTGGCAACCTATTACGTGTAAAATCAATGATTTTTTTTTTCGCTTTCTGAGCTGGTGGCCAGGTGTGTTTTCACACCCACTTGCTTCCCTCAGTATTTCAGCCTCCACCATGCCTTTGTAGATTAGCCAGCGCTTTGTTCCTGAGGACAAAAGTCCACCTCCACTAACGACTCACAAAGCTCTTGGAACATGATAACCTCAGGGATTTGCTTAAGGAGAAGCTCTTAATGCACCAAAGTCTAAGTTAAACAAAGCCAAAAACTCGCTCAGGAGGTTCCTCAGCCACTGCTTGTCTCCAAGCAGTTCGCTTTGCCATGCAGGGACAAGGAGGAGCAGCTTTGAAGAGTGAGACGTTTATCTGGTTCTTGGGATGAAAGGAGAGACTGTGGTTGCATCCATTGAAAACCAAACTCACACTGCCTTGGGAGTCAGGCTTTCTGTCAAAGGATGCTCAGGGAAATGATCACAGGTCATGAAAATGATCACAGATCGTCAAAGTGCATTGGCGTGTCTCAGCTTTTGCATGGATGCCCTTATTCAGAATTAAAGCACCTCATTGCAGCTGGTGTGCCTCATTCTGAAGGCGAAATGCAATAAATTGAATTATTTACTTTCAATCTGAAGGATTTTATTTCATTTTCCTGTGGCTTACAGTACAGACAAGCACAAGCTGGCCTGGAGAAGCAGGAAGGACAAGCTCATAGCCTGAGGTGCTGTGTTCCATCAAGTTCTGTAAATTGTGAATTAAATTACCGTCCAACTAAGGAGAGAACCTGAAAACACACAAACAGCCAAAAAAATCTTTTTTACGTACCTGATTCTAAGGAGGTGCAATTAATCAGAAATACATTTGTCACAAGCTGAGAATGAATTTTCCAGGAAGTTTTAAGCAGCACATTAACAGCATCAAATTTCATGGCGATGTCAATCAAGACAAGTAGCCCTCGTCCCTCTCTTGGCACTTTCCTGCATACAATTGCCACTCAATTACCACCAGCCACTAATCAAGAGCACATTTTCATGCAAAAATCCTGAGACTGAGTGTTGTTATCTCTTTCTGTTTCCTTGTGACTTCACTGCCTCACAGCCGGTTCTGTCAATGAATGGCACTTGATGGAAATAACACCAGGCTCTGCCCTTTTGCCTTGGTGGCTAAAAGTAGGAGCCGGGAAAAGTTGAAGGTCAAAAAAAAAGTAAAGAAAAGTAGAGGTAGAGAAAGGGTGGGAGGATGGATAGGAAACTAAAGGCTGAGGAAAAAAAAAATAATGCGTAAAAGGTTAGAAGGATGAAAAGTTGAGGCTAAAAAGGGGTGGGAGGCTGAAAGGTGATGCCGAAAAGGGTGAGAGACTGACATGAAGGCAGAAGGAGAGGAGAGGATGGTGGAGAGGGGGAAAGTTTAGGAAAGACGGTCACCCTTAGCACTGTAACTATTACCAGAGTTACACAGGACATCGCTGGACCACACCCACCAAGGAAAAGCGCACCATTTGTCAGGAAAAGGAAAAAATTCTTAGAAATAAATGGTATTGTCGAGTCTCCACTGGAACCAATACAGACTTAGAGATCGTTTTTAAAGGATCCTAACTGGTTCCTGACTGTGTTCTGATCTTTCCACTCAGCGATTTTACTGTGGCTTTCTAAGGAGCTCAGGTAAAAGTATGAGGAATGAGTGGTTTTGCCTTAGGAAGAGGTGACTTTTCATTAGATTTAGGAGTATTTCCAAGGTGCTTTTCGAAGGTGGGATTTAGTCAAGCATTGTAAAGTGGCGACCTGTTCCCAGCCCTTTGATTTTCTCACCAGCCCCTGGTACAGGCAACAAAGCTTAGAGGGGCAGCACTGGAATTTCTGCCACTTTGGGCATGGTGTGTTTGCTTTTTAATAACTTTAATATTCCAGTTGCAGAAACGTTCCTCCATCCATTCTGTATGTGGGGGACAGGTGACAGCAAGGGGCACCATCTCAGCTGGCCTGGGATCTTGTGCAGCTGCTGCAGTGGGATGAGGTGTCTGCTCATGCCCTGACATGGAATTACATAACATGACACAAAAACATTGGGAAAATTTTCCTATGAAGTATACAGACTGGTTTTGTGTATATTAGGTATGTTTGGGTGCTGTAAAAAGGCTGAGATTACTGTGTTCCCTGGCAGACTTCTCCCATGTCCACAGAAAGCCATAGGTGTCCTGCCCAGCCCCACTGTAACTTCCCACGTGAGGAATTTGTTGGGATATTTCACACAGGAACCCAGACACTGTGCTTTAAATGAGGATAAAATTTAGGCATTATTCACTTCCATTTGACTGTCAGCTCCCTTGGGCCTGATGAAAGCAGCAGTGGGTCCCAGCTATTCAGCTCGTTCTGCTGTTGTATCTGGGGCTCCTGCAAGTCCTGTGTAGTGTGGCCAAGACCTTGGAGAGGATGGAAATCCCAACGGGAGAATGTGACTGCTCCGCCATGGGGATTAGAGTTCAAAGTACTCTCAACTATGGTGCCCAGTTGTTGTCTCCAGCTGACAATGACCAGCGAAGTCCACGGAGACACAAAACC